ATGCTCCTCATCGCTATAATGTTGAAATCTTAGCTTGGCCGAAACACGGACAGTCTGTAACCCTCACCACCTCAGCATACAGTCTCCTCCCTCCGCCCCCAGCATACTGTCTCCCTCAGCCGCCGCCCCGGCCGCGAATAGACGCGGCGCGGCATCGCTTACGGTTAAGCAAAGGCTACTTCGTTATAATCTCATTATTATTGTTAATATTGTGTTAATGGTATTACAATGTTTGAATGCTATTGCCTCATTGTTAGCCTCACTTCACTACAGGCCTTAGCACCTCAGAGCTCTAACTTGTCTCATTCCTCTACCACTACTTCTCTATAGTTACTATTATGTTATTATTGTTGCATTTATGTATATAAAGGTTTAGTTACCCAAGTTTGAGGTATTGCCGTGTGACTACTACGAAAAGTCCCGCGTGGCATTTATTCACGAAGTCGAGCATTCTGCTAAAAGCTAGTGATTACTGGGTGCCGAGAACTGACTCGAAGGCCTATTTTCGACTAGCAACTACAAATCGTCGCTCGATCTGGCCAGGAGAACAAGTTTTGTGAATATCTCATCATCGTTGTGGTGGATTTCGTATAATGCGCTGCGATGAAAACTCTAGTAGGCAGCAAATAAAAAAGTAAACAATGTTAATTATGCTTGTTAATTCAAAAGGATAAAACAAGGTGCCTGAATATTGCCATTTGTACCTTCGTGTGATAGAATGCGCTCATCTACTCCTCACGCCTGCATTAACGATTTCGCTCAAAATACTCACAAATTCAGCTATCTTTAAAGGAGGTCCCATTCTCGCGTTATTCTTGTAAAAGCACTTTTGCTTAACCGCAGCATAAATAATTAATTCTCATTGTCACTCTCATTCTTGTTTCTTTCCACATTCGTTGTTTCTCCCAGCCCTGATGCTTTTTTTTCAATTTCCTCCTGATTAGCACAATCAGCGTGATATCATGGGCGCGAAAAGCTAATTCGTCACATAAGACTTTCATTATGACAAAACATTGCTCAAGTACTTCACTTGCCTTATCAGTCTTAGGAAAATATAGCAAGGCGAGTTCAGGACAGAACCATTGAATTTGACAGCGACTTGCCAATGCTAGAATTTTCATACCGGTAAAAGTAAAGGAGAGGGCGCAGTGGTCAGTGTTCCGCGATACACACGTGGTCGTTGGTTTCATCCCGCACCCTTTGTTCACCAAACCTTCCATGCTTCCGAAAGCTACAAATTGGTGCTTGACTTCTGTGGGAGGTTGATAGCACTAGCCTGATACATCAGTGGGCCACCGCAAACCATTGTGCTGGTCATTATTCCAACTCTGTGGTGCTACGAATGGAGTCAAATGCATGGTGCACCCATCGTGTGGTTGATCAACGCTTAACTGTTTGTCTTTTATGTTTTATAAGTAACCAACAATTGTTACAACTATAATAAAAACTTTGGCAACAGCATGTGCATTCAAACAGACCTAGTTCTTTCTCTTGATGGCTCGATTCAATGTGGGTTATAGATGACGAATCACTTTTAAAACTTTAAGACATTAAAAGCGAACTCCACTGAGTTGATCGTTTCATTTATTCCACTTCATAAATTTGTGTTCTTTCCTATAGCCAAAGATAGATAGACCGATTCCAATCTTAACCATTTTATTTACTGCCCTTTTCGTTTTAATGGCAGGGTATGTTGCGAAATATAACTCGTAAATGCTGAGATATTTGCAAAACTCCGGGCCGCAGGTGCATGCGGTGGGGAACGAACGCACGCTATTGTCCTTTCCGGGGAGTAGCGCACTTCACCACCACACCATCTGGGACCCTCGTTTTGCCGGTCTCTCAGATAGTTCGATCTTTCGCCATCAGCAATCACTCGTCAACCGGATTGATCTGAGGAGACCAAATCGGCATTGAACCCAGTTAAGCTGAGGCTTAGTTATAATCACAATTTTAACCCTTTTAACCCCAGATCATTCTCGTTGACGGGTGATTGCTGATGGCAAAAGATCAATAGAACTATCTGAGAGACAGGCAAAACGAGGGTCCCAGATGGCGTGGTGGTGAAGTGCGCTACTCCCCGGGAAGGACAATAGCGCGCGTTCGTTCCCCACCGCATACACCTGCGATCCGGAGTTTTGCAAATATCTCAGCATTATACACAAGACCGATTCCTTTATCAGAAATTTATACTACCTGTGACAGTTTAGATTTCGTTCGAAATGCTAATATGCAAAATCGTTGACTGTCGTTATGAGCTTTTGTGAACGTGATGTTGGTGAAAGCATAAAGTGCATACTAGGCGAGAAAACAGTAGGTCCTAAAACCTTAAAAACTGTCATATGTGTTGCATTCCTTCTAATACAATGCCCGGTCTCAGCAGGTTCTGCAGTATTGAAATTTTTCTCAAAGATTTGTTTGTTGCAGATCATGCATAGCCTTTGGAAATTGTCAAATAGTCAACGGTTGAAAGTAACAGTTGATTCTTGTGTGGTACTCAACTGGTTAGTAAGAAATTCCGAAAGCCGTTACCGTCCAAGAAGAATCCTTGTGGTAACGAAGTAGACGCGCACACAATCCACATAGGTAAGCTACCCTAGTGGTTAGTGGAGATCTGAAAACGTTTCGCAGTGGATATCTCAGAACGCCAATGAAAAATATGCTCGACAATCACTCAACAGAGAAGAGGAAAGCAAACCACAGCTCCTCCAGCCGCAGACGAACCAAACACGCCGCCGACTTCATCCATAGTTGCCGGTAACGAGACAACAAAACGAACAGAAGTCTGTGGGTTACGCAGCATGTTAGGATGCGCCATTTAAGATGCAGATGGTTGATTTTATTATGTGAAATTTCGAGGTTATTGAGACGCACTGTGACTCATTCCGAGCGTCGATGGACGATGAAATCAAAAATGCCTCTATTTTGTTACAGTACTATTTTTTAAAAAGGAACTGTCTATTGCTGTTACCGAATTAAGAAACTCTGTTATTGGCGTTCCGACAGGTGGATGGAAGCACAACTTCGTTTGGCAGGTAGGAGAGTGCCACCGCCCATAGAGTATTTGGATATTCTGCCGGAAGCTAACATTACCTACTACTCTTCCTGAAAGCCACTTTCTATTAAAAGTGGAATTATTTAATCGTTTGGAGTGCCTTATAATGACGCACATTCTCTTATTCACACAAAGCTCATTTTCTGACCTTAGGACAAGTGCATTCCTTATTCACGTAAGCTCCGTGCAGCTTATATCCCTCAACACTGACAGGCCTTGCAAAAAAACCGTGATTATTTAAAGGGAATATTTCCCATGTGATTGAAATTTAGGTTTTTGAGTGTTCTATGTTAGGGTAATGAAAGCATTTGATTACGTAAATTGCGTACAAATTTGACACTTAGGAATGGCAGAATCGTTTGCCATCGGGAAACGAGTATTATGCTAACAACCTCGTGTCTATTCCGAAAGAAAGCACGAGTTTAACACTAAATGTTCTGTAATTTGTAGAGTGCTTCAATTCGCAATAACAGTTTTTATTTTCAATACATCCTTTCCTTTGTTTACCATGGTAATTTCACACGGCATATAAGCAACTAAAAAAAATGAAGAAAAACAATATTGCGTACAGAGTAGTAATGTGACGAATACCCCGATAATGTACCCTGAATATGAGTGGTTCTAAATTATGCTAAAGTTCGCTGATAAATGAAGAACGGCTGCTGAGTGCATGCTATCAGGGACTCCTACACTGTAGGTGCGCTCATAGGAAAACAGATGATCACAACAGAGGACTAGTTAATTACACACAATTTGGGTTATTCGATGAAATATTAACATACAAACGAATGATGATAATATATGAAAGATTCTGAGTTGAAGATTTGGGCAGTACGGATCGGTCGCATTTTTTGATCTGGTTAAACGGAGACGTCGCTAAAAGACCTCTCACGAGTCGACGGCAGCTGGTTAAGACCAGTCGTATGATGTGGTGGTTGCTTGACCAGACGTCGGAGACGTGCGATTTCCTCGTTTGCCCGGTCCAGTTCATCAGCCAGACAGCTTTGTCTGAAAAAAAGAAACCAATCTTGACATTGAGACAAAAGTCCCTTAACAGATACTGAAAATTCTAAACGGAGTATACAGGCTGAAACAGTCAGTATATGAACGTAAGTGCATCACTGACAGTTTAAACCGCATAAAAACTATGCCGGTAACAAAAAGCACATTTGAAATGTTCAACGATTCAAACGCACTAAATAAAAAAACGATAGCAGGTATTCTCCACGACCGACTCCGTATGAGATGGGAGAAGGTAAGATGTAGAGATAGAATATTCCACTATTCGAAAGCTATGTGGCCCAAGGAATTGGACTACACACACGCTCATCTCGTGTTAGTCACTTGGCATACAAAGGGTCCAGCCAAAAGTTTCAGTTGTAAAGATGCTCACAAATAAACAAAACTCGAATCTTCAAATAGACTTCGAACTCGTGATTATCCTCCCCGAGGGCTGACGTGCTACCTACCACTCCATCCGTAGGCTTTGTTTTGCCTTTCGCTGGGCCAATTTTTCACTCTAACTGTGCTGTCAGCAATCACTGGCCAACGGGAATGATAGAAAAGCAAAGAGAGAACTGAACTCAATTAAAGTTCCGAGTTCTCCTCTCAAAAAATCTACGCCTCATAGAAGCTTAAAAAAGGAAAGAGTTGAACCTCAATCTTCAGAAAATAAACTTTAGATTACTGAAACATTAATAATGAAAGCCATCAAATATTTAGTAAATACACGAAATTGATTCAAAGAGCCCAACTTACCTCTCCTTCAACTTTTTGATGTCGGTTTTACATGATACGTTCTGACGCAGCAGATCTGACTTCTCTCCACTTAATCGGTCGATATCCTATAAAATTATAAAATAACTAACTAAATAAATAGGAAGCAGTCACAGACGGCGAACCATCAGGAGCGATTCAAGTTTCTTTGAGTCCGGCGAATGACAGTCATCTGTACAGAACGTACACGAAAGTCGAGTAGACGGCTGATCAGTTGATGACATCGACTCCTGTAAAGCATTTGATCGGCTCCACTTCATTAAGAAGTACTGCCTTTGCAAACTCACCAATCCCGTATCTGAATCGATTTCGTTTTCTGGTGAGTCGTTATCCACCGAAGACACATCCCATTCTATTCTGTAACAAAAAATCCAATTAGGAGAAGTTTTTAAATATATAAATGAAGATTGACTGAGCGCGTGTAGGGGAATGGTTAGAGACGCCCAGAAATACTCATGAGATTGGTCCCTGGGTCTCAGGCTCTCCAAGCCTTCCATCCTTCCGAAGTCGGCAAATTGGTACTACTCCTGCCTCTGGGAGGACAGCAGCACCGACTCGATTCATCGATAGGTCTACACGGGTCATGTGTAGGCCAGATATGCATTCAATCACTTCCAACGATGGTTAATGAGATCGAATGTATGGTGGCGTATCCCTTAAGGTTTGATCAACGCCGAGAGTTTTATCTGAGCATTATAAATGAGGATGCTTTAAACAAAGTAAACAAAGAACTAACAAGTACCTCGGACTTGAGTGATAGGCAGTTTTTGCATTCACGTGCTTGCCAATAATCCTTCTCTGAACTCCTCGACTAGGTGAAATAGTGGCCGGTAGGGTTTCATCATCAGCTGGGGATTCACTGAAAATGAGATTCTCTTTCAATCATTTTTTAACGCTCTTTTCAGTGATTCTAAACTCACCTCTGGTCGTCTCTGGTGAGACTGTCTCTGCGAAGGGAACTCGTACCACTCGATGTGGAACTTTTATCCCTGTCCAAGTTTCTTGGTCGCTTTGAAACCGTGAATGTTCGAGAAGGTACCGACATTGACACTGTTCGTGTAGGTGTGTTGACTTCTTGAGAAACAGATCGCGATCTTAAAACATGCAGCTTCGCCTATTCTGCTTGAAGCGACCTTCTCTATTGGTCCTGTTTCCGTTGTATCTTTAATTAGATTTAAATAACGGGTTGAAGATGAAGAACGGCATTATCCAATATACTCGCTCTATGGCTCATTTTTGGTTTTAAGCTAGCATGTTCATAAGAACTAACAATATGGTTTTCATTATGTAATGCAAAGAAATTGCTTCTGTTAGAATAAAGATCGATTTATTCAGGCTTTAATAAAATACCACAAATAGAAGTTTTTTTGTTTTATTTGACCCGTCTTCACGTCCAATATGCGGATCCCAGCACTTCTCACATTCAATTCGTTTCCTAGTATCCACTGTCCACGAAGAACTTCAAACTTTTACGTGTGGTTTTGCTTGTTGCTTGAAGACTTTCAATTCTTGAATGTCGTAGAATACTTGTCCAGCAATTCTCTCTGAAATCCTGAGATTGCCGGGTTGGAGCGTTTCCAATTGAAGTCCTCAAACAAAAACGGAAAAATTGCACACAGTGATGTATTCCCAGACAAGTCCGGTACCAATTTCGCGACCCGGAGGGAAGAGAGGCTTGGCTGGCCCAGACCCGAATCGAATTGGCATCATGCTCGTAATGACGGATATCACTACCACTGTGCTATCTGCTCCACAGTCTATCACAGACAGAACTACCATAAAAAATTTTAAAAACTTAGAAAATCTAATTAAAAACATGGATCATGACCAAACACAGCACTGCAAATGGTTGTAGCGCTTCCGCAATTTCATAAGCATCTTTCCAGCGATCTCTGTTGTATATAAGAGCAGGAACAGAAAATTGAATAGAGAGATTCCGCAGCTGGGTTGCCCAATTCCAAAATAATGAATTCATAATTGCGAAATTGCAATTTGAAAACATAAAAAGATATTTTTAGTTCAAAATTAAGTAGACCTTCTGTTTTACAGAAAATATTAGGACTAAACAAATGCAACATTTTCTAGCGACCATTGTGACTCGATGATACGGAGTAGACCCTGAACAGTCGCTGGTTCGACTTTCTGGGATAATCAGTAGAAGAACCGTCACAGCGCGGATAGTCTCCACATTCTATCTCTGCGTATATACAGTTTGTAAAAGAATGGAAAATAATCGCATGACTATCGAATGAGACAAACTGTGATGTGATAGGCCTGGCGATATTCTACAACTAATTTTCCACTTAAAAGAAAATTATGAGAATAATGGAGTTCACACCACTAAATATTACTTGGTCGGTTGGTCAACTATTAATCGCAGAGATCGCTACTGCTGTTGTCAATTGCTGAAACATTCTTAGATGTAGAGCGACGAACTTCATTTCCTACTACATGGTCAACGCTTATGGTGGACTACCTGGGACGCTCCAACACAGACATCACATCTAGCGATTCCAAGAAAAAACGAGTTCGATGCGTGGGACATCTTAAAGCAGAAAGAGGGTGGCACTTATTTTCAAACTGTAGCCGAACCTACGCAATTGACTATTGCTATTCACAGTTTACGGAACCAAAATCAACAAAATTGCTGGGGTCTTCATGGGGTTCACCTTATAATAAGTCATCTAAGCAAACATAAGAGCAATAACGGACCTCCCGATGAGGGCTTTTTTCACGGAACTAAAGATGCCACCAGACGATTCGGTGGTTTCTAGTAGAGGAGAGCCGTAAAATTCTGCACGTCCCTTTAAATTTGCGAACAAACCATCCAAAAGTGAAGAGCGAGTGCGTTCCTAAAATTGCAGACTGATTAGCTAATATTTTGCTAAACGTAACAATTCACATTAGACACTATACTCACCGCCAATTTTGCGAATTTAGCGCTTTTATACGCGGCATTTTCAGCATTTATGAGTTTTGTGAGCAGGAAATTTCGGAAATCTTGTCCTTTCTTGAATAACGACGGTGCTGGAAGAGTTGGTCCAAAAAACGGCACATCATCACGAGCCGCCACAGATACCTGGAAAGGTCGTTATTGAGAAAATTTGCTGGTTTTATCAATTCTAGTGTATCTTGATTAGGAAGAAGTGTAGCGTTTGGGGATTTAAAACCAGGTAAACGACATCACTTCGGCAACCATAATGAGGCGGAAATACGTGGGGGAGTAATTCTGGCAGTTATTTGAAGCTTAATAAGCTCTAAGTAATTAAAACCACTAGCCTTTTAACACAATATATCTCCAGTCAGTTAGTTGCAAAGCTATGTGGCGAATCACAAGCAGTAGACAAATATTTGAATCAAAAAACTTATCAAAAACGTTCATGTTCTTTACCAGATTCAACTGAATTCAGATATGTTCCTTATCTCAGCCGCGACTGACCGACGTATACTTTCACCATATAGCAAATGTGGAACACGTTAAAATCAGAAGGCCTCCTAGAAAAACTACTTTCCTTCCTGTCTCTTAAAAACAGCGAAAATGGAGGATTCGGTGGAAACCCGTTTGAATCATTCGATGACTAGCAGGACCACAGGTGATAGGTGGTTCACAAAGTAATCAAATGGGTAATCAAAAGTGTAACTTGAAACCCTGAACTGCACTAACTGGCGTAGATGTGCTGTATGCTGAGCAGAACGAAATGAAGAAACTTCTCTCGTGTAGTTCCACGTTACCTAATCAAGTTGAAAATCTACCTATGCTTCCTAGACAGCTTTTGTTCCATGCTTTTATAGTAGGCTAAGTGAAACATCATTTTGCCGATTGTAATGACAACAGTTACAAAGACAATTCACAGAAAAGTTTCGGACGTCTTTCGAACATTTAGTTCTGAAGGCTGTTCATGTTCATGGATAAATACTGAAATAATCAAAATTTCAGAAACTTTCTGAAATTAGTCAATAAAGCATAAATAAAGATAAAGCTCTCGGCTTTGATCAATCTCCGGGAGATCTGTCATGCATTCGAGTTCAGTAAGGACCGTTAGAGGTGATTGAGTGCATATCTGGCCTATACACTGAGTAGCGATGGCCTATCGGTGTATCCAGTCAGTGCTGCCATCTTCTCAGATAGGTCCGATAACAATTTCCCTAGCACGGAGGGATCAAATGCCTGGCGAGCCTGTGGCACGGGATCGAACCCATGTGTATTGCAAAGGGCTAACCACTGCGCTATACATGCTCCAAAAGTGATCCACAGGTGTTTGGAAATTAAAGTTTAAACTGTACTTAAAAAACCAACAAGGTTGTTGTTGATAATGATTGACCGCTGATAATAATTTGTTTTTCAATAAGTCTGAGAAAGACGAAGACGTCGAAACGTTAGCCGAATAAACATTTTTATCAACCTGGTGTTAGCTTAATAACTCAAGAAAGTATTGATCAATAATGCCTAGGTTAAACTACGGTCGGTCTGAAGAACATTGAGGAAATAACTTTGAGGCAGCAAAGAGAATCATTAGGAGCGGGAAATGATGAAAATTATGCAACTTCAAATGAACTTGTTGAAGATGGCAAGGAGCTTGAAAATTGTTGTTATAATTCTTTCTACTTCTGTTCAGCAAACACGAGGTGTTATTTTATTTCTTTATTTACGTACAAGCTGACGTTTCGGCGGATTTCGCCTTCCTCAGAGCCTGGAAAGGTTAAGTTGACTACAATCTATACGGTCAAACACCTCCATGACCAAACAGAGAAAATGCTGAACCAAAATTTCAACCACATTGAACACAGAGTCTTTGCACACTCACCGCTTTCTATGAGTCTTCCACTAAATGTGCCACATGGAGACGAACCGCACAGAGTTCGCAAGGAATCGTATTGTGCCCATCTCATCAAAATAACAGGTTTATATACTGCCCAATATCACGCGTGATAATGAGGCATTCCTCCCTGCGGCTCATTTTCGGATTCTTGGAATTAATCCAGAATGCCCCTAGAGTTTTGCGCGTTTGTGTTCTCGATTCTTGCGCGAGGATCGTAACCCCTACTTCAAAGTCTGTTATAGTTATTGTTAAATATTATTATTGTTATAGTTCCATATGATAAAAAAATAGAGGGAGAATCTTCTGATTGTAATTTTTCTAGAGTGATCCGGCCTATTTCTTCAATAAGACCCTAAATAAGGAAAAAGTTATGATTTTCTAATCTAAGAAGACATATTTTGTTGGTTCATTACTTTGAAATACGTGCAGAATTTTGGCTTCATGAAATGGACTTGACCTCCGAAAATGAAGAAATAACTGAGAAGTACTAACCTTGTAGCGAACTTTATCGGTGAGAGGATCAATAGGCTGAACTACAATGTAGGCATGAAGAAAGTTGCTGGCAATCATATCGGGTGCGAATGGTGTGTTCTGCTCTTGGAAGACGACGGCGACAATGTCGTTTCCGATATGACGTTTCCGTTGAAGTTGTTGATGATCGCCAAGGGTGTACGGTAACATTGTGGATACATGGAACATTGCTTCACGACCACGAAATTCTGTGTACACAGCTTGAAGACCCGTCTGGCCGTGAACGGTGTCGAGTCCACCACGATATCCCTAAAAAGAATACGGTATATCGTGACACGGAGCGCAATGCGAAGTGTCAACTAGTTAATCAAAAAACTAGTTAATCATGGGTCAATAGAAAGTATAGAGAGTGGTATAACGGTGCAGCACTCATGTTAGATCATGTACAAAGTTCAAATGACCGAAAACATCTCCTCAATCATGACAAATACTAAATCCTGATAAAAAAAAAAGACTACAGCAACCACTGGCGTAAACTGAAGCTAAAAAATCGCAGGTATTACGCGTGCATTTGAACCTGCCTTGGTTCAACAGATCAAAAGCTCATGAATTTCAAATATTTTCAATATGCTGAATAAAATTTGGAATCTTTCAGGAGGAGATCACTGAACTTAAGAAATGTCCAAGGTAGTCCGATATATGAGTACGATATATGTAAATGATGGAAAAGATATTCGTATGCAATAATCCACATATTATAAAATAAAACTAAAAGCATGGACACATTTCTATCTAGTAAATGGAATCGATTCCATAATTTCTGCACCAAGGATCTTACCAAGAACCCTTGTAGTTCCACAGTATCACCGAGAACTCCGAGAAATTCCTGGAAGGCAGGGCTACTGCGTGCATTGCCAAACAGTTCCTCTTCACAAATCTGACCAAATCGTTGGTAAATCACACCAAATTTGTAAGTATTGGTCAGTACGTGCTCATCGTACCTGAAAGAGGCTAGTTGAAGAGTTGTTCCAAACGTCCTCCATTCGAAAAAACAGTTTTTGTTAAGCGTTTCATGACGAGGATTTTGAAAACCTCTACGTAAGCAATAACATTCAAATTCTCTATGTGTTCTTCTCTATATATAGTCTAACCTTATAAGGTCACTTATTAAGCATTAAACAGAAATCTAAGCAGGGAAGAATCTGTGTGGAAAAGAGTAGAAGGCGCCTCGTTTAGAAAAGTTCCAAAGGCCCTTTCTTCTTGCTAGTTAATGTAAATGAACTAACTTACTGCACAATGAGCTCTGATCCACTTGGAAACGCTACCGGTGTGAAATGTTCAGTGGTGATTTCTTCGCACAATAAACGTGCCATTCGTGACGCTGAAGGCCTCTCGGCCAATGCTAAATGTAAAGCAGTACTGTGGAAGGCTTGATTAGAATGGGAATTATGGCAACAGGAAACAGACCATTAGCTGAAATAATCTTATGCATGGTGCCCTTCTTTGTGCGCAACATGATACGGAAATGATCTTGAGATGAGATCACTTCCGCCCTCACTGACAGAACTAAAGGTCCAGCACTGGGGTCCATTGCAAAGAAGTCATGATGTTCCTATAAATGATGTTAGCTCATCCGGGAAAAGGTAGAAAAATAAAAGTAAGGGATAAAGTAAGGTGATTAACCCACTCTGCCATAAAAATATCTTCGATAGCAATGGCTAGTTTCATCCGTTTCCAGTTTGAATCTTGCACAACTGTTTGTATTGACCCCCATTATCTTAAAATAAAGAGATTCATTCATTTTTCTGTTTTCTTAAAGAAAGCCAGAAAATCTATAAACAAACTTCTTGGTCAAGATACATGTTATTTTGGCTGACGCCATCCATCCAGAATCCGCTTGGTGGAAGAACGATTTGTGGATAGGGACCTGATCTCTGGAGCATCTGAAATCGAGGCAATAGAGTGTTCTAGACAATAAGTAACAAGATTCGTAAAGGATAAAGGATAAAGTTCTCGGCGTTTATAAATCCCTGAAGGATGCATCATGAACTCAACTCTATTACGCATCGTTGAAGGTGAATGAGTGCATTTCTGCCCTTACAATGACTCGTAGTGGCCTACCGATGTAACTAGCCAGTGCTGCTATCCTCCCAGACAAGGCTGGTACCAATTTGCCGACCCCGAAAAGATGGAAGGCTTGCTGAGCCTCGGGAGCGGGCATCGATTCCATGTGTGCATTGCAGGCTGCCTCCGACCACTACGCCACACGCACCCCACAAGATTCATATGAATGACACAACATCAGTTACGTTCCAGCCTACGTTCGAGACGAATGAAAAAACGCACCTTTCTCATGATCTCTCTCGTTTGCAGATAGTCTCTCTTTCGCTCGCCATTAGCACTCTAGAAAAAATCGGAATAAGATACTAAACAGAGGATTGTCGAGGAAATTTTTTTTAGCCCTTCTTTATTTTGTAAACGAGCCAATTTAAAGGACTGACGATCAGTTTTCCGCATATCACTTGATACATGTTTAAGAAAATTTTTCATTATTACATCTTTTAGAATGTATGCTCTCAGTGAACTAAGACGGCATTGAAACTGCTCGTTATAAAACAAAACCATGAAATCCACGTTAACTCACCGGAATATCTTGTAGAGAAACAGCGCTACACGTTGATGAGATGAGAACTGGCGGTGAGACGATATTGCTCACAGCTTTTTCGCTCCGTTTACCAAGAATGTAGCTAAGAAGATCGAACGACGATCTTCCGCTGGAAATCTTCCGCGGAGATGATGGCGGAAGTGATTCGTAAGAACCATTACACGCAATCGCTTGCGCTTTCTTGAGATTCTCCAAAGCATCTATAAGCTTTCCAGCTGCCATTGCCTTGAACTCATTATCAGGAGTAATTAACAACGTTGATGAGTGCCTTTTGGAAATACTGACTGCTTCAGCCGCTTGATTAACACAATCCATCGAGATAGCTCTAGTCGGTGTAGGAAATGCGCTCTCTGGTAAAGATTCCCTGAGAGGTTCTCGAATAGGTGCCAATGACGGTGTCATACGAAAACGACGCATTACGGGGAACTTTCCAGATGGACACGGCTTGTCAATACTTATAGCTGTCCGAGCATCTGCGTCACCCTCATCCTCGCTACTGTCGATGAACCTCATCCGACGCGGATGAGCGATGTAAGAATGAGATTCTGGAGAATTTATCCGTGTAACAACAGATAAAGCCATGAATTGAACAAATTAAGTGGAAACAACGGAAATCGATTGCAATGGGATGATGATGTGGAGCGTGTGGTGGACAAGCACAAAACTATCGGCGATGCAAAGGTGTACAAATATGGCTAGAGGAGGTGGAAATAGCGTCCCGGATGGGAGGAGCTCGAATGAATAGTAGTGGGTGAGATGACACGTGCTGGAGAATGGATGAGCGCCAGAATTGCATGTGAAGTCACTAAGCCCATAAAGCTACGCGATGTAAAGTAAGCATTGTGGAAAAATCAGGAAGTGATCGTTCGTTTTAAGCCAGGAAAACTCCTGGCTGATGTCAATTGAAATACCACTTAAATAGTAATTAAAATCGTAGTGGTAAGTGGAAGAGAAATGCAGCCAGAAAGACATTTTAAATGAAAAAAATTGGAAGACTATTATAACGATAACTGATAAATCCAGTGGTGCCAGGAAGTCACGAGTTTTCTGAATGTTTACTAAAGGCTAGGCATCAAGAAAGCTTAGAGCTGTCGCATTCCGGTAAGTATCTGCATGGTTACCATAGAAAGGACATGGACTTGACACGACAATTCAGTGAAAATTCTAAACCCAACCAAAACATAAGGAAGCGATTTTTGGGATTGAAAGAGTTGGTTCAAAAGCACTTCAAAGGGCATTATATTTCCCGTAGTTGCGGCATTACGGTTAAAAGTGAGGGTAGAAATAAGAACAGATTTTGTTTCAGAGGGGTGGAATTAGAGACTCTCGAATAAGATTGTTCTCATCTCTGGGAAACCTCCTAAATCCAGTGATGACCCAAATTGTGGGTCTGTGGCGTGTCATTCTGGACAACCTAATCATGTCCGGCATGAGGAAATTATTCCAGTGAATACCTTGACGAGACGTTATTAGTAATTCTAGGCAATAATGCTGGCTAAGGTGGAACAATGAGAAGGTATTTCCACTGACAGATGAAACACACTTTTCATTGAGCAGGTGCTTGTATTTCAATCAATTTAAGTTCACTAAAAAGCGCATCAACATGTTTATTCATTTGAACTGCACAGCACTGATGAGGAAATGGAGGTAGTGAAAAATTGGAACTAGGTGCCGGATATGCAGCAGAATTCGAATTAGTTAATAGAAAACAAGTTAGTTCGTCTTTAGTGATAGCTGAGTCTTAAAATGTGGTCATACGGCATCTCCGGTTGTGGAAAGGATTTTTGCGCGTCTATGAAACCAGACGAATAAAATCTGCTGAGGAAGAAAAATGAGGCTTCAAGGACCAAAATGCTCATCGGAAGGCTGTGTTCGAAATTGAGTGACTGCTTCGATGACATAACTACGATCGTACGATGAACGCCGTCCAAGGGCAGACAGGCTACAATCGTTGGCGAATTTGACAGAATGCCAGGTGTATAGTAAATAATTACAGGAAGTCATAGGTATGGTTGGAATTAAGTCGCACAACAATTGCATTGCGTTGTAAATAGAACCATGCCTATCGAGCTTGACTAGGTAAATTCTACGTTCCCAGTGATTAGTTGTCTACGTCAGAAAATAAGCCAAAAGACCGTGACTGTTAAAACAGGGATAGTATATGAGACATAAAGAGGACGATTTTCTGGAGAATAGAACAGTTCAAATGAATGGGGTGATAACGGTTAAACTCCTTGGCATACTATTGAATATGTTCATGACGCAATAAATGAAGCGCGGATCCAATCCTCCTAAGTGTTCGAAATAGTTTTCGAGGTAAAAGAGAGGAAAACAAAGAGACGTGGCTGAAAAAAAAAAGCTCTGCACCGTCGTAAGCATAATGGAAAGGAACTTCCCAGGGCAACGCATTGTGTCACTGAGTGCATTACGGAGTCCAGGGGTTTTTATGATCGATGGCGACTGAGTAACGGTGTATTATGTCGTAGGATTACGTCGTAAGGATCGACGAGGTATCATTTTGTGTGCTTATGACCAGCCGCGTCACATAGCCGGTCTGGTCAATTACCATTGTGAGAGTCAGAGCCGGTCATTATGAACAGGGCACCTCATTAACTGGCACAACAAATAATCATCGCCGGCTTGCCCGAGTGGAGCCAGCACCATCTGACCACTGAATGCAGCTCAACAAGAGAAATAACCTCAAGAAAAAAAGAGGATAAACAGTAAATAAAACGGTTAAGATTGTGATTATAACCTCAAGAATCTTCTAGAAGCAAATGAGGGTGAAAAGTTCGGAGCAAAATCCAAGAAATTGTAAGTTATGAGTGAAAATTTGGAACCAGAAAGTAACATTGATTGAAATCAATACTTTGAAGCCATTTTATACGAGTTAAAGAAAATCAGTTTTTGAACTCCAGAAGCAATTTACCTGGTGAAAATCACTTAATGAACTGGTAAAAATCAGAATTCGGTACCGCCTGCACAATATTTAAAGAGTGTAACCTCTAGTCATATTTACATCCCTCTAACATCTTCCAGCTCAAAGACACCATGGGAACAGAAACAGTATCGGCACATTTCGACTGAGGGTACTAAAGAATAGACCAGCAACTCGTTCAGAATGCTTTATCCACTGTTAGAATATTTTAGACCACGTCAAGAATATGGAAATAGGTATCTGAGCAGAATGAATTGCGCTTACCATTGTGGACTGCGGACGAGCGAACTGCAATTTCACGAGTTCATTTAATTCTTTTTTGGATTCTTCAACGCTATTTGAATTAACTTCACTTATATTTCCTATGCTATTTTCGAAAACGATAATGCCTTCGAGTAAAGCAGTCAAAAAAGAACATATTCGACAGAAAGACTTTTTAAACTTAGGAAATCTGCTAACCATAATAGAATAGGTGCTAAAATTGACACTGTGGATAACGATAGTAGCAATGATCAGCACAAAAGATTACGACAAGTTAGCTTTCACAGCACTCGAATGTGGCGAAGTGAACAAGGAGCATTAAGGTGAATAGTTCTGGTAGCCGGTTCCAAATTGGTGATATGGCAGTTCTGATTTCATGCATTAAAGCAGTTGTGCAGATATGACGATTACTTTGCTCCGCCTGACTCATAAGAAACAATGCAACGAGCCAGAAGTGATATGCAGAGTAGTGCATAGTTGTGCGACATTTGTGAAGACCAGGGCATGCATCAATTCGGCCCGATCAATTGGACGAGTTGTTTCGGGCATATTAAGCACCGTCTGGGAAACGGACCTGGATTAGTGCACGGGTATGGTAAACCGATGCAATTACCAATTCAGTAACCGGATTTTAGTTGTTGTTCGACACTGTGCAGTTCGACACTGACTAACGTCAAGATCAACGAGAACTCAGACGAGTGAATACCATTCTTTTCAAATGTCCTTCGAAATTCGAATAGTACAATCCACAATTTTCATCCGCGTAGTCTTTGTGTGGTGGTGATATGCAACAGGTATACGACTTCAATTAATGGCGATGGGATAGGAAAATATCAACAAAAACAGGTATTTGAAAAGTTGAAATAAGAACGCCATCGCTTGGCTGGAAGTGAATTCCCCAAATCGTTGGAAATTAGAGAACAGCTTCTAAAAAAACTAACAGATCTTCCGAGGCACAGTAATCTTCTTCCGGTTTTTTCTGTTATTCGATCACAGAATTTAGACTCAGTCGAAACCAAACGGTAGAGTGAAAATTCGACTTATCAGATTCTCAAACACCCAAGTAGTTCATATTTTTGATATGCGAATGTAGAACACTTCGTACTTACACATTTGCCCAAGTTAGGAGCACATTGATTCACAGAAAGCACGTGTTGCGCAAATGGTGGTGTCATGGGCCTGGTAGAGCCTGCGTGACGACGACCATCGCCCGATCGAGTGCACTTCAACGACTTAGCGGAAACATGCGGTAAAACGCGATCAAGCCGACAGTGAGGTGGAGTTTGAGGCTGAGGCTATTGATGCTAGTTCACCGCTATCTCATACACCTTTATTAATACGTAGCTCTACAACCCTAAACCTCTTATCAAGCCGGATATAAACAGTCCACTTATGAGCCGATTTCGGGGAAAACCTAACAGTATTGAGTTCTACTTAGTTCTACTGATATTCGCAGACTAAGTAACGAAGTCAACTCTCAATGAAGGAAATGTATGACATTTTAGACAATTGGTAGTTTCCGAAAACATTGACATTGTAACAAAGGTCATTTAAAAGCTCGTTAAATGCAAGACTCATTAACATTAGAGATGCAGAGCACTTATATAATCATGTCATTACCTCTTATTTGATATTTTGAGGTTCAACTAAACTCATCCAGGAGTTCTTAGTGAAAGACCGCGCTATTTTAAAGACAGCACAGCGCTCGCTCATTAATCAGATGCAGGTTGTAGTCTCCGTGAGAATGGCAGTTCATTCAAGAGCGGAGCGCACTCCATACTTCTAATATTTCCTACATCCACTCCAGTAGAAACACACACGCTAGTACTGTGGTACAGAAGTGTCCAACGGTACAATACAGTGTTGCCATGGCAGATTCCGTTGAGCTGCACGTCCACACTCCTTCGATAGGTGTGAAAATATAGCGCCGCGTACTGTAAGCATGAAAAGTGCAGCTTTGCAGTGCATAAGGGAGCAATGAAGGCTAAACCAGTGATCGAGCCAGTTATTTGATGACTAACTAGTGTGATTGCGGATTATACAGGCTATTGAAGGTGTACAGAAAACAGAAATACAGACATCAAAAGACAGGAAATCGAACTTTGCAGTTATTTTCACTTTGTCTACTTCTAGGCTTTACACCTCCTATACATATAAAAATTTACCTAAAGTTCACATCGTGAAAGGAAAAGATAATCATAGAACTTCCCCCTTGTTTCATCACTGTTTCAGGACAGCTGCTTGACAAGTACAATATGAAATACTCTCCGATCTCAAAAGGGCACGTAGGAGTATGTGAATAGGCATGTAGATTACTCCAGTCGGAGGAACAAAAGTGTGAAAATCGACTGGATATAGCAAAATCCAAGACCGACATTCTTTTAATCTCGGAAGTGATCAAACATTCACCGTTTTTCTTGATGACTTGACACGAGCTTGTTATTACAGCATTTATTCACTCATAATAGCTGACGCTTCAGCGCTTTCGCTTTCCTCGGAGCATAGAAAGGTCAAAAACACGCAATCTACTCAGCCAAATACTTCACCTCGGCAGACAGAACTTTGTACACTACTTCTCATTCGCATAATAAACAGCT